TGTTACGTCACTCAATTTGCTGACGACACCACATTCCAATATTTTTTTTCATGTAGTACAAAAAGCAAACTATCTTGTAAAAAGTATGACTCATTACTGTTTAAATAATGCCCTAATTTTAAATGGATCAAAGACCAATATGGTAACCTTTTCACCTTCTACTATGCAGATGAGTCCATTAGTAAAGCTTGACAATGGGTCTGTGGTAAATAGCCACTCCACTAAGGTGTTAGGTGTTTACCTTGATTCAAATTTGTCTTGGAGTTCTCACGTTGATTCTGTAGTGGGAAGATTGTATGTACACTGTTATGTTCTAAGGCAACTTAGGAATTTTGTCTCCCTAGATATCTTGAAACTTTACTATTTTGCTCATGTACAATCAATGTTTGTTGGGGAAATTGCTGGCGAATTAATGAGGTGCTTGTTCTTCAAAAAAAAAAAATTATTCGTACCATGACGTTTAGAAGGCGCTTGGATTCCTGTAGACCAGTTTTTAAACAATTAAATATTTTAAACTGTAATTTCTCTGTATATTTTCAGTTGTGTTGTTTATGTAAAGTCACATAGATGTAATTTTATTTGCAGAAATGATGTTTCCTTAATGAGTGACTACAATTTTCGTTACAGAAATGATTTGGTGACCCCTGCTCGTCACTTGACTATTGTGCGTAAGGGTCCTTACCCAACATGCGTTAGTTTGTATAATAAATTACCTAATTATGTTAAATATTTATGTATTTAAGAGAACAGTTAAGGACTTACTTCTGGAAAACACTTTCTATTCGTCAGAGGAATACTTGCAGGCATCTTTTTAACAATTTGTATGTTTTTGTGTATATTTTATGTTTTATGTGCTTATAGTTTTAACTTTTTTTACTACCTATGACCTATAGTGTTTTAGATTGTATTTTGACGCATTTCAATACTTGTTAAAGTCAGATGAAATAAAGAATATTGATTGATTGATTGATATATTTTACGTTATCTGGTTCCTGGTTAATTCTATAAAGTTCGAAGTTGCATCGTCTTCTCCGCACTCCATTTTAGGCAAACATAAAAATCAAACTCATTTACCACAGAACTTTTCTCTGCATCCTCATTATTGTGTACATTGCCTTGCTCGAAACAGTTCCAAAATCTTTTATGTATTTTCATTATTTTATTTTTATCAGCTTCGTTGATGCTTTTTTTCCTACGAAGTGGAGACTAATCATCATCGGTACTGCTTGACTCATCATAACTCATTTTCAGAGTTTCTAAAATAATTTTCTCTCTTGTTCTTTTCGTATAAACTAATTTTTTTCAAGAAAAGTGGCAACCAAATATTTGTCGTTTCCATTTCCAATTATTTAACCGCTTTTAAGCTTATCTTGTAATGAAAATCACACAGAGATGCAGGAAATACCCCTTCTTCTTCTTCTTCATCATCTTCTTCTTTTTCTTCTTCTTCTTTTTCTTCTTCTTCTTTTTATATAAATATGACTCTGTCTGTTTTTCAATGTCCTCCAGTAAGTTATCGTTTCATCGCTTTCGTTGTCTTTAATAGGGTCGGTTAGTTCTTCTCCTACTTTAACTTTTATTGTGTTGTTTTGGTTGATATTTTCGATCGTTTTAATTATTCTTAGAGAAATCTCTCTTACGCACAGTAAGTGGATAACGTCTTTTAATTTGACCTGGTCAAATGCCTTCTAAAGGTCCACAAAACATAGGAAATACCTGTGCTGGTTATTTTAGTAATCTCTTCGAAAGGTTAAAGAAGTTAAATTCATTGTTTCATTTACTCCCACTGAGAAGATGTTAGATATTTAAAGATTCGTGATCTGGTATGTACAAAGAGAGCTTACTTTTGCTTTAATAATTGTTCCATTAACTAATAGGTAAAATTCCGCGTGTGTTCCGTACATCTTGTTTTATTTATTGGTTTGGCAAGTTACGTTCCTGACTAATTTAATTGCAACTTAGGAAAAAACCCCATAGTTAAGGCGGTTACTTGAAATATAGAACAATAAATAAAAAAAGATATTTCATTTGATGATGTCTGCTCTCTTAGCCTGCGGTCTACTTATTTAATACTGTTCCAGAGAATACACCTAATATGTTTCATAAAAACTTATACAATTTTATATTTCTCAAACGAGATGTACTGACAGCAAAATAATTATAGCAGGACTTTTAACTTTGGTATGTTTTTACATTTGATACACCATATCCTCTCTCCGGAAATATCGTTTTTTTATTCGCTATTAATTCACCGGATACAAAATATTATAGATTTCGATTTGATAGGAGAAATACAGATAATTGTAGCGTAATAAGGTATATTTTAAAAATACGCTTATCTGTTTCTATTGTTGGGGTATAATTTCGTTCATATTTTCTTGCTTGTCAGGTGTCTTACATTTCTAACAAGACAATCTATTGGTGTATAATTTACTGTAATTTGATTTGAGATTTAGCCAAGTCTTTGAATATTCTTAAGAGTAAAGAGGACTGCAATATTTATTTATATGTTTATTCAACAACAAATTACTTATAAAAAAAGTAGTAAAGAATTTTGACGTTTAATATTCTAATTAACAAAACACCAGAATACACCACAAAGATAAAAGTCGAAAGCTTACAGCATGACTCTATAAGATAAATATACCAAAAAAGAATAACAGAAAAAAAACAGAAATACATACATAAAATCACAGAAAGTGATGGCGTCGAAGAAAGCTGGGCAAACATTAAGTCTAATATCTTACTATTGGTCAAGGAAGTTCTTGGTGAAAGACACATAAATAAAAATAAGAGTTTCCAAGGCGAATAACTCCTTGTAAAGTTGGAGAAAATGTAAAGAAAAGAAAAAAGCTTAACTGAAATACTTGTGAGTCAGAACACAAGAGGATGCTATTATTAGAAGACAATGAGAAACAAAGCACTTGTAAAACTAAAAACAAAAACTAAAAAAATTATCACTGGGAAGGCTTTTTTAAAAAATTGAACATGGTTTTTATGGTCTGAAAAGGAAAATATGATGCTTCATAAGAGGTCAAAGAACGGAGGTAAAGGAACTAATAGAATGACAATATGAAAATAAGTGACAATAGTTTTCAAAAAAGTCAACACTTACAACAAAGTTATCAACTACTAGATTTTTTAAACTATGGCATATTGAATTTATCAATTCATTCACAATATTTGAGCTCAAATTTCTTTGAATTTACTTCCTGTCTTCCAGGTGCATTATTTCATCAATAGCATATCCACTTTCTGATTCACATAGCCAGAAGAACTTAATGCCATACTTGACTAGGCATACACATATTAAATAAATCAACATCTACCGCGAAAGTCAAATAATTTTTTATCAATTGTCTCCATTAATTAGAATTTGTAGAGGTGTCAGACAAGGGGAAATAATCTCACCCAAACCATTTACTCTGGCGTTGGAAGACATTTTTAAATCTATAGACTTGGACAATAAAGGGATTTGTATAAACGGGAAATATTTAAATCATCTAAGATTCGCCGATGATGTACTCCTGATAGCAACAACTATGGAAACAACTACGAATAATGATTTCAGACCTAGAAATAACATCTCGTGAGAAAGGACTAAAAATGAATCTAAAGAAAACTAAAATAATGACTAATACAGAAGACAGATCAGTAATTACCATAGGTGGAACAGACATAAAACACATCCAAGAATATATTTACTTAGGACAAGCTATCAGAGCAGACAAAAGTAACCAGACTAAAGAAATAACCAGAAGAATAAGAATGGGGTGGGCTGCATTCGGAAAAATTTCATATATTATCAAAAACCAAAAAATACCTTTAAAATTAAGAACGAAGGTTTTAATGCATGCGTCCTACCTGTTCTGACATATGGTTCCCAGACGTGGACGTGTACCAAGAGCAACTTAGATAGAATAAAGAAAACTCAAAGAGCTATGGAAAAAACAAATGTTGGGAATATCGTTGAGAGATAAAAAGATGAACGAGTGGATAAGATGCAAAACCGAAACAACAGACGCTGTCGAACATGCATTGACATTAAAACGGAAATGGGCTGGGCATAATAAAGGATATCAGGATGGAAGATGGAATAAAGAAATTGGCCGCTGGAGACCATATACTGCAAAAAGGTCAAGAGGTCGACCGCAAATGAGATGAAAAGATGACATTGAGCAAAGCGCAGGTCCAATGTGGAAAAGACAAACAGAAGACAGAGACAAATAGAGACAAATGGGAGAGGCCTATATTCAACACATGAATAGATTTTGGGCTATAGATAGATAGATAGATAGAAGCTCTGTAAATGGGATTAGAACACTTATCCAAAAATATTTCTCTACTTGGAACGACCCAATTCTTTTCAACACCAGCCCTAAGCGTTTTTCCTAAAAATGCGTCTAATTTGTCGTTTTGGATAGGTTGCCCAGATTTATTCTTGAGAGAACAAGCACGGGAAGTTTCGCGATTTTTGCAGATAATGAAATCATTTTCTGCACAATATTAGGAGTAATAAACTTCCTCCAACCATCGACAGGTGAAATATTTCACCTTCCCGTCGTGGTCCTGAAATACGTATTATGTTGTGTAAGACCTACTTTTCTGATTTTCTTACTAGATTTGTAAACCACTCTCTACCATTGGATGTAATCATCACTTGACCACTTGATGCGAAATGTAATGTTTCCTCTTCGTCGTCGGTTTCACTAGAAATGTTGTATTTCACTAGAAACCAATCAAGAGACCCATCTCTGTTTGTTGATCTCCGTAAAGCATACGACAGCGTGCCTGTGACTAAATTGTGGAAATCACTACAAGAAACTAACATTAGCTACACTTTAATCAAAGCCTTAAAAAATCTATATGAAAATTCTACATCACAAGTAAAAATTGGCAACACACTATCTAAAAAGTTCATCGTTAACAAGGTTCTGCGCCAGGGCTGCTGTATTTCACCAACGTTGTTCAAGATATATATTGCAAAAGCACTAAACCAGTGGAAACGTAAATGTCACGGTATGGGTATAGACCTCGGAGATGTTTGTTTATATACCTTACAATTTGCTGACGACCAAGTCATCATAGCGAATGATAAAGACGATTTAGAGTATATGGCAAGAGAAAACTAAAGGAGGAATATAAACAGTGGGGATTGGAAATAAATGTAGAAAAAACTAAATACCTACCCATAGGAGCTGAGTTATCCAATATCGAACTAGAGAATAATGAAGAAATCACATCCTGTAGTGAATATACGTACCTGGGAGTAATCTTCGATAGAACGGGAAAAGACGATGAGGAAATAAAGAAAAGGGTTATACAAGCTAGAAGAACAATTGGCTGCCTAAATGGAATACTTTAGAGCTCTGAAATGGGAATAAAGCGAAAATATAACATCTATGAGTCACTAATTAAAAGCAGTCTACTTTACGGAGCAGAAACTTGGAGAATAACCGAGAACAACAGAAAAAAATTAGAAGCTGTAGAAATGGATGTGTTTAGAAGATCGTTAGGTATATCCCGCAGGGAAAGAGTTCGAAATGAGGAAGTAAGACGAAGAATTGGAATAGATGGTTACTTAACAACAGACATTGAGAGGAAACAGAAACCACCAAACCGCAAAAAAAACGAGGAAGACCCAAAAAGACATGGAAAGAAGGGCTAAAGCAATGAGTACAAGAGATCTTAGTGACGGCCAATGGGATGATAGAAGGACGTGGAAGTTAGGCATCGGACAACGTCAAAAGACGTTCTAAAACCGATATATATATATATATATATATATATATATATATATTTAGTAGACTCAAGAACAATGTTTGGTGCATCTCTAGATTTTGATTCATCACTCGACTCAGATCCCGCGTAAGAAGACTGATCAAACCATTTTTGAGCTATTTCTTCGAAATTGGGTCTGATGGATTAATTGTTTATTTTCTTGCTAGTCAAAGCCATAACTATAATATTATCAAAATATATTTATAAAAATCATCCTTCTGTAGTTCACATAAAGTATACTTACCAATTATTTCTGACCAAAAAATTGTAGCTCAATTTAGAAAACACATCCAAATAAAAGACAAGTTCTTAGTTCGTAGCACACATTAATCCCATCGAATGAAAAAGAGAAGCGAAATACCTAGGAGTCAATATGGCCCAAGGCTTAACATTCACACAACACGTGGATACAACCATCAAGAAAACAGTAACAGCCAGAGCAGCAATAAGAGGACTCGTAGGTAGAAAAAGTAAACAGACTAATAAACAGCATCATACTTCCATATGGGGACCCATAAGCAATTCAAATAAAAAGAAAATACAAGCAGCTCATCATTCTCAGGGAAGCGACAAATGTACCCAGACACGTCGCTGAACGCTTTCTGTTTAGAGAAATAAATAAAGGCTTCGGCCACCACAAAAAATGAAAAAAATATTAACAAAAGGCAGCAGCCACCCAAAAAATTAACAAAACCCCAAAACCTGGGCACCAAGTGCCCACATCCTCGGGCACCGAGTTGCCGAACTGGACGCAGCCTGGAGCGGAGACTCGAGGTCCGAGCAAGCAATTTCAGTTCGATGATACGTCACTAGAGAAAGCAGTAAAAGAGTACCTCACGCTAGCATGCATTGACCGAGTTAGGATATTGTGTTGGAGTTTTTGTACCCAGGACTTCCAAACGAGAAGTATTTGACTGATAGAGAGTCCCTATCGCGCATCAGAGTGCTATAGAAGGAAAGGGATTGAAGCATTGAAGAGTGCTGGAGTGGTTCCTGATAACACGAATCAATACCCCTCGGTCCAATGATTGTAACACTCAAATGTCATTCTAAGGGGTGTGCAAGTCTCTCTAAGCGTGTTTAATCAAATTGCTTGCAGTCTGCACAACAATAACATCTGGGAAAATTATTCGAAAATGCCTGATAGAATAGATAACAGGAAGTATGAGAGGGGCGGAGATGCAATAAATTGTAAATGAACACAAATATTGTTTATGTACGCAAATAACTCGAGTAGGTCCAAAGTACCAATCTCATGTAAAATACGCAAAAATGACCAACTGTACAATATTTATTACGTACGTAACATTAATTTCATTTTGTGTGTATATGTATAATGAAGGAATACATAACTAATTATATCCAAAATCATATGAAAAAATTGATATGAAAAAACGTTCTGGGTCGAAAATACCCATGATATGTATCTTAGGGTTAAAAAAGAGATCTTGAACCTTATAGTGAAGAATCTGGGAATATATTTTATTGTGTCACAGTTTATGCGTAATAATTTACATTGTCATCATTTTGTAACAAAAATAAGTAGTAACTTACCGGTCTAAAAGTAAAGTTTTTAAATTTTTTAGCAAAAGAATGAAAACAATAAACAACGAAATAGAATATTTCACTTTCCTCTTGCAGGTAAACGTGACTTGTCAGAACAATACTAATCAAAAAGCTACGCCACGTTTTATTCAACTTAATTACAAAAATAGAGAAATATCAAAGTTACAATTCAAATGTAACGAGATTAACATTGCAAGAATGAATAGTATGCAAATAATTTCAGCTGCTATTATGTTTGACAACGTATTTTGAAATACATTTTATGAATAGACAAAATTCCTTATATAATCTAAAATTCCTCTTTTCGAGTACTATAAACTTTCATATCGGCAAGTTTTTCCAAACAAACGAATTTATTTTTCAATTAAAGTTATGAATTCATTCTTACATCTAATTTAGTAATTCAATTACATGATCCATTTCTTCCTAGGTGTGGGCTCTCCCATAACAAAGCTGCATAGTAAATGTCAAATGTTACGTAAATCAATACATGAACAATAGAGTTTTTTAGTGCATTCGCCTACACCATACTCCACCGTGATTGTGATTCACATTCTGTGCAGAAATGGTGTGGGAACTTTCTGACTTTATCTACCGATTAAAATTAAAATTATCTAAATGCCGTTGTGGTCATTAGTGGTAATAGTTCAAAGTTAGTTGTACCTATATTTAAGGATTACTCAAGCAAAAGATTAGTAAAAAGTCGTTATGTATCTAATAGTAGTGATTCACAACACACATATTATGAAGGGCATTCTTTGGTGTTAAGAATTAGGCAGTTATCCCCAAACCTTTTGCCCCGTAGACCAATTATCGATATTTTTTGGCTTCCATAGTCCCCTAATGTCAAGTTAGTAATTTTTTGGTAATAAATCAAACCTAGGATACTTACTACCTACTTTCCTAGGATTAATATTTTCTTTAATTTTATCCAATTGTATAATCACGTGCGTGTTTCTTTGGATATTTTTAGATTAATTGGAATCGAAATAACAGGCTTCCAATAAAAATTATCAATTATTTAAGTATCTTTCCCATCCAGTCCCACTTTCTTTAAGCTTGGAATATACCAAAGCTTTTTGTAATCGATGAAACGTGTACAACCATCAACAATAACGAACTAAAACAAGGCCTATACAAAAATTTATTATGTTTTAATCTTAATTAAACAAATCTGAGATTTAAGAATTTCTGGCCAAGATCTTCAACAAAATCAAGACTGGTAAAAATACCCAATGACCAAATACGACAAAATATAAGAGTATCCATTAATACTATTGAAGAGATTTAATGCAGACAACAGTGGCGGACTAAGGCTAAAGCGGGCCCTAGGTAACATTTTATTTTTCCAGATCTATTTTCCAGTAAATGGTCAACGGCATAAGGATGCAGAAGGCAACGATACACCACTGAATTAAAGATCCAATTGGATATCTCTAATTCAATCATTATGGCAACGAGTACCTACTAAAAAAAAGAAACTGAGCATGAGAATCGGAGCCCAAGATCCGGCAGCGAAGGAACAGACAGGGACTTGCAGGTCGTTAACCGGCGAAACTCTTATCAAACATCGAAACAAGATAAAGGAAAATTATTAAAAGCAAAAATAGGTACGTGGAACGTCAAAAGCATGTATCAACCTAGTAAAATGCATAACATCCTTTAGGAATAAGAAGAATAAATATAAATATATTAGGTGTAAGCAAAACATGGTGGTCTAACTCAGGATACCTTTCGACAGAAACCAGTAGCTTATATTACTCGGGAAATATTGACAACCAGCATAGACGTGGAGAAGCACTTATTACCTATATAGAGGTCAGCAAGTCAACAGAGGGTTTTGTCCCAATCTCAGGAAGAGTAATGCTACTACAAATAAGGATATCACACACAAAACTAAATTTGATCCAAGTATATGTACCAAAAATAGATGCAACAGAAGATGAAGTAGAAACATTCTGCCATCAAATTAAAGATGCACTGAAAATAACAAACAACAGGGAAATCACGGTAATTATAGACGATTTCAATGCTAAAGTCCACAAGGGAAGAGCTGGAACAATAATTTGAGATCAAAGACTAGGGGAACGTCACGATAAAGGAGATCTAGTCACGATAGAGGAGAAGTAAAATACTCACAAACACGTTCTTTAAATTACATATGAGACGGTTATATAAATGGTGCTCACCAGCAGATAAACCGGAAAACGTGGTAAGAAACCAAATCGATTATATAATGATTAAAGAGAGATATCGTAACACCATCAAATCAGTTAAAACATATCCAAGAGCAAATGTCACATCAGACCATAACCCACTAACCGCTAATGTCATGCTTAAGCTTAAACGTATTAGAAAGCTTCAAAGAACTCCAAAATAAGATGTTAGAAAACTAAAAGAAGCTGATATAAAAAACAAGCTCTAACAGAAAATATACGAAAATTTTGATAAAATAGATACTAACACCTACGAGATAAACCAACAATGGGAAACATTAAAAAAAAGTCATACCAAAGAGAGACAACTGGATGACCGACGAAATACTCAGGTGGATAGACCAAAGAAGACAAGGCAAGAACTAAGACAGTCACAATTACAAAATAATTAACAATGAAATCAGAAAAATGATAAGCGAGGCAAAACAAACTTAGTATGAGGAAAAATGTAAAGAGATAGAAGATCAAATATGACCTATTCAACCTACATAAAAAGGTTAAAGAAACGGCGGGCTGCAAAAAAGAAACCACAACATAACTTTTTAGATAAAAATGGAAATACTGTGATAACGACTGACGAAAAGCTAAAACGATGGAAAGAATATATGGAAAGGCTCTTCGACGACGAAAAAGGAAACCTACAAGACATGAATCTTATTTCATGTCCTGGAATTTCTTCATGAAATAGTTTTAGTATTTTATGCCATATTTTATCATTAGTATATGCAATATCTTTTTTTTCTTTTTAGTAGTAAAAAGCAGAAAAAGTAACTTTTTCTGCTTTTTTTTAATTATCAAAATTATCTCGTTTTGGTAAAAAAATAGTTTGTATGAAATCTATCAATGAATCATATTAAAACTGCTGTATTTAGGGATTTAAAGAATATATATACTTAGGACAAAAAATAATCCTAAATAGGGAAATTCAAACTGAAGAAATAAAAAGAAGAAGAAAGTTGGCTTGGGCAGCATTCGGTAAACTGAACTATATACTCAGAAATCAACAAATTCAATTACATCTTAGACCTAAAGTTTTTGATGCATGCATTATCCCGATATTAACTTATGCGGCACAAACATGGACAATCACAAAAAAGAATATGAATATACTTAGAGTCACTCAACACGCGATGGATAAGACAGAAAACCAAAGTCACCGGTGTGGTGCAAAAATCATTAAAGTTGAAATGGGAATA